CATGAGGGGGGAAAAAAAAAAGCACTCGCCATCTGTGAAGCATAGCTGAGATGGCATGATCCCTTTAAATACAAGCGATGGAGAGAAAGAAAGAAAGCGGAGGAATCCATTCACATAATAGTATAAACTCAGTACTCAGTTAAAGTTTATAGAAAGTACTGATTCTGTTGTTTTTGTTTTGATGAGGGATTGGAAATTGGACTTGGATGCAGAAAATCTAAAATAAATTTGTTGGTTTAACAAACTGCAACCCTTTGAGTATAGCACTGATGGTAAATCTGCAAGGATAAGGGGATTAGCAGTTAATCAGAAGAAATTACATCCCACATTCAAAGAAAATGTTGAAACATGCACTGGTTAACTTTCTTTATTAAAAGGATTTTCTGCTTTTCAGTCATCTATAGCAGTAACAGTTGAGTGTTTTTGGGATATCTTTGGGATGTGGGAAGTTGTGATGATCATTTTTCAAAATGTTTGACATTTTAAAGGTCAAGTGATTCACTGACCTTTAAGTAAAAACAATCATCACATTCACAGATAATGATAAATAGTAAATGCGCTTTTCTAGTCTTCTGACTACTCAAAGCGCTTTCACACCGCAGGTCACACCTACACATTCACACCCTGATGGTAGAGGCTGCTATGCAAAGTGACTATCAGAAGTAGCTAATTCCACAATACACAAGCATATGCCACTAACAAAGCAGCAGGAGCAATTGGGGGTTAAGAGTCTCTTGCCCATGACTCTACATGAGCATCTGACTGATTACCAGGACTGTTAAAAATAAGTAAGAAAATGAATGCCATTGCTTGTGTGATACTGCCTATACATGAAGAGATACACTACAAATCTGAGCTAATGAAATGTACTTCCTGCAGCTCTTTGGCGTCTCCCATCACTGTGCATGTGCATGACATTTCCAGATAATCAATTTCATACTAACAGCCTGACTAACAGTTTTCCCTTTAAGTGAGGACGACTTTATATAATGTGTCCAATCCTTTTTTGGTTTTTTATAAAGTAATCCTTTTTACAGTGCTTCTGTAAAATAGTAATGAATGGATTCTCAGGCTAACTTGAATGAAAAAAGGGGGGAGGGGGATTCTTGACACCACTGCCAGACCTCATTTCAGCCGCCTGCTTTTTTTTTTTAAGTAAACAAATTACACTTGGCTTTCCTGTAAAATCTCAGACCTGACCTGAGTTGATCTGAGTAAAAAGAAGAGATAGAAAGATAAGAGGTTTGATGAAAGCGACTGAGCTAACTACACAACAGGAAACCACATCACAAGGAAAGCCTCGTTTTCAGCTGCTAGAGATGACTAAACTATTTGAGAAAGTGTTACACACAGGACCGTTTGCATAATGACATGAACAGACTTCTTTATTTTGACGATATGGGTTATAAATGTAAGTTATTTCGGTATACAGCACTTGTTAATGTACAGAATCAGCCGAGATGCGTGAAAAAATCTTATACTGCGTTGAATTATATGTTGAGGTAGTTCCATTACTTAAATGTTTTTCTATATGTGTGATAAACATAAAAGTAAAGATACAATTTAAAAAACTAATGAGCACTAATAAGTGGTGACATTTCATTTACTTTGGACTTTCTTCAACTGTGCTGAGAACAGCCACGGACGGGACAACAATAAGAACAGAAAATATTGTTCTTTCTACAGTCCCCGTCTTGAATCAAGGTCAGCGCGTAATAGGCTCTGACAAATGTCAAACACATTACATAATCTCCTGGGCTGTGTCATTATAAGCATATGGCTCCGCAGTTGAGCCGCAAGAGCCTCTGGGACTATTATATGGCCCAATTCATAATACAGGACCCAGGTTTGCTCTTCTCGATGTGATTAACTGTCTCATGCAATACCTGATGGTAGCTTTATGTTCAAAAACATTAAGACTTACAGCGTTCTGAGTCATTTAAGTCTCCAAATGACACCTGCCTGAAACCAATTCTCCTTAAACAAACACCTATTATCTTTGCCTTCCCATGATTACCTTGGAAAACAAATACAGTGTGTGTTTATTCAACCAGTTCTAACCTCAATGGCCTTGTCTGTCCTTTATGGCTTTTACTACGGGAAGAGACAGGGGGCAGAGAGCACAGCAATTCAGATGACAAAGAAAGTAGGAGGAATTATTCATCTTCTCCTGTTGACACTTAGCGTCATCTAAAAGGTTTCTAACGGCGACACGTTCCTCCCATCAGCCACCTTTAGAAAGTTATGCAAGAAATCTGCTGCGCGTCAGTTTCAAATTGTTCCAAAGCCTGAGGCAGAAGACAAGCGGCTGTATAAATGAATACTTATGACCGTAATGCACAAACAGTGTGGATATTTATAAATTCCTGTGTTTAGAATGAGAATAAGGAGGCCAAATATTATGTGCTGTCCTTAATGATGCACAGTGGAAGTCTATAAAAGAACTGTGATTTTGTGTTTTTACTGTGTCCAATAGCACAGCCACAGAAATATCCTGTGTGTGTTTCTTGCTGCAAAGTAAACAGCTGAACAATGTAATCCAACCGGTATGTTCTCTGGCACAGAAATTAGTTCGTCTTTCCCTTTCTTTTGCATGAAAGAAAGGGAAAGGTTTTTGTGCGTCTGTGTGACGGATAACTGTGTTGTTAGTGTGTGGTAAATGAAGATCTCTATCGACTTTTTACATGTCACACCAAACCACTTAGAACCTATTCTGGATAATGGATAGGAGGCATGGTGGATGGATAATGGATATATTAAGCTATTTTCAGCCAAATCCAGTTCTCCTTTTGTGTTTAAGAGGTTATTCCAAACGGCATTCAAATCAACCGTCTGAACCAGAATGTAATTTTCCAATCCGTACAGATCAAGATGAAAGTACCAGTAAAGCAGAATTTTCAAGAAATTCAAATATTCATTCATGAAAAATAAATATATTCTCAAGACAACTTTAGGTCAGGCAGCCAAGTACATTGCTAACCATTCAGCAATACTGCCCAACAGGAAAGTCTCTAAAACAGAACCTGCTGTGAAAGAGCCACTCGGCATGTTCTCAAAACAAAAGTAAGCAAAGCCAGGGGACAAGAACTTCTCTGATTGAAAGAAGCAATCCACACCTTCCATTGAAAAGTTGAGTTTAAACCATGGCCAAGTCAAGTCAAGTCAATATATAGTATATAATATATATAGTGTTTATATAGCACATTTATAACAACCGAGGCGGACCAAAGTGCTGTACAGTAAGTCAAGTGGACATGTCACTGAAGTGTCCCCTTATTGGTCAAATGACAAACAGCCGCATCCTTATTTAAGTTTCCAAGGCTTTCCCACCAATGACGGCTCTAAACTCGCTGGTTTGCTGCGATCAGAAGAGACAAGGTTGAGGATTCAATCTTCATTTGAGAGAGGATGACATCTCTTCAACCTCGAAAGGCTTAATGGGACTTTAAAAAGTGGGGCTGTACCTTTGATGTTTTCATGGAAATAAATCCAACCAATGTGTGCAGAGTGGATGCAAAAGAAATACAGTCAACCAATGCATGGCTTAGGTAACATTAATAAGCATATGATTTAAAATAGAGCTATTTCCTGTCAGGGGGATTGACGTTGTTGGTTATACTGGCCAACGTAGACGTTTACCGACCTCTGGCGAGTGTTGGGGTTCTGATCAGTAAGACAGTTCGCTTGTTTAATTGTGAGCCTAACATGCACTGACGTACCCCATAGTTGTATAAATATCAACATAGAACATGTACCCGTTGATGGAAACCACAATGGCAATTCTGTTGACAATGATTTACATGAAAAGTTGAAATTGTTCTGCAGGATAAATGAAGCATTTTGTAGAGGAGGACGGAAGAACTGATTGACAAGACAAGAAGGCTGCAGAGATAGCCAAACCAAGACATCCTGCATGAAAAAAAGAAATCACATGGCTCTCTGTAAACAAAGCAGTTATGCAACAATCTGAGGTTGATGCTAACAACCCGGATGGACTCTGACCTCCTATCAACCAGCCCTAACTACACTGCACGGGGTGACCCTTGCTTGGGTCAGTGTGGAAGTGGGAGGGGACGACCACAACTGGGGCATGTTCAGACCTGTAGGGATGGCTGGAGGTGGTGGAGCCCATCCCCCCCCCCCCCCCTTTAATGTGAGTCATGTTTCCCCTGCTCACTGTTGCCTGTTTCCCGCACAGAAGGGGGCGGGAATGGAAAGAGAAAAGCGCCATAATAAATGTAGTGAAACATCCTGCAAAAAAAAACAAAAAACCCTAACCACCACACAATGCAATGTGCTGTCATTCATTAGAGAGCAACACGTCCATCATTAGCCGGGTTGAAAAGTCACCACTACTCTGAAAACTCTGAAAAGGCAGAGGGGGGGAAGAGGGCTAGGATGCTGAAGGGGGAAAAAAAAAAAAGTAGCAACAAGGAGCCCATTTAATGTGACACATTTGACACCTCCAAGTGTGCAAAGAGCAAACAAAACAAGGGGCAAAAAAAGTCATCAACAACAACAACAACAACAGTAGAGCAACGCTGAAGCCTTGCAATCATAATACGGCTGTGCAAACGAGAGAAGGTGATGCTCTGATTCCTGCCTTTGCAAACAGCAAAGAAAGCACGTCACACAGCATGGCTCTTTTATTTGTTGACAAGCCAAACTCCAACGCCGAGTGGAAAATAGGGTGTCAAAAAAAAAGAAAAAAAAAAAAAAAAAAAAAAAAGGGGGCCAGCGCTGCGGCAGCCGCTCGTCCCTCCAGCAAGTTGTCTCCCCGGAAAAAAAAAATTCGGGGGGCTAGCTTGCAAGCTAGCGGCTCTGCTAGGCTATAATGTAACTGAGGAAGAGAGAGAAAGCACATTCACCTCCGTTAGCCGCTAACGCCCATCCCCCAACCCGACCAGCCTTCCCCTGTCTGCGTCCACCATCTTTAATCTGTGCTCCGTCTCCCTTCCCCGCCGCACAAAACACGACAAAAAAAAACACCACACACTCACCTTTAACGCTCATCGCCGAATCGATTATCGCCTTCCGAAAACAATAAATCGATTTTCGTTTTAATATCGTGCGTATTTTATTATTGAAAATTGGCCGTGCGAGCGGAACCGCGCCTTGAGAGAAGAGCAGCAATCCTAAACCGCCATCTGGTGGTATTTTCCTCTCTGTGATGCAGCGGGAGCGGCGCAGCCTCAGACCGAGACACAGCTGCCCCCTGGCGGACACACCGGGGCCGTGGCGGGGACGCGCCTCCGGGACTCTTTGGGGGGGGGCGGGGACGAGCACGGGAAAGGGGAGGGGAGGCGAGACCCCGCCAACACAACACCGACGGGTACGCGCACAGGAGTAGAGAGACTCCCCCACCCAATTATTATTTTGATAAGACTAATAAAGGAATTATACAAAAATAATCAAGTGATTCAAAAAACTTTTTAACTTATATTGTTTAGGGTCGTTCAAATTTGATGTAAAAAAATATATAATATAAAAATAACAAGTGTTCCCCTTGTTATTTTTATTTTTTTGTATTATATCTTTGCTTAGCTGTTAATACAACTTATTTATTTTTACTTTTTTGTACTCTTTCTTTTTTTTCTTACAATGTTATTCTATTTTATATATAATTTTAACTTTTTTGTAGAAGCTGACTCAGGGAGAAACGCACAAGAATTCCATTGTACCTGTACTGTCCTGTACCTGTGCAAATGGCAACAAACATCTAAACTAAACTAAAACTAAATAACATGGCCCTCATGTGTGCTGTATCTTATTTATAAAAAGGCACGATTCATCATAGATCATTTTCTGAACTGATTATTAAGTTAGTAAAATGTCCAAAAGTAGTCAAAAGGTCATCACACATTCATAGAGACCGCAGTGAGATCATTTTATGTCTTGTTTTTGTCAAACTGAGCATGCAGTATTTAAAAAAAAGGGGGATTTAATAAAGGAATGCTGCTAAACTTGAAATTGGAGTTGCTGTTTATGTTTATTTATGTTTTTGCTTGAAAATCCCTGAGAGTATTTGTTGTTAATTTGAAATATCAAATTTTCAGATTATGTTTCTTTCCATCTCATGACCTCTCTTTAGAGCATCTCTTATAAAGGATTTGTCTTTAGATTATGACTTTTATAACCAGATGTTGTGGTTGGGGAAATAAATGTGCCACATGTATGGGTTTGATCTCTGACCTGGGGTAATGTTCGACACATCTCTCATATAAAATCTCTCGATAAAAAAAAGAAAAGAGTGATTGTTTGAACTCATGACCAAGCTCTTTGTGTCATTTGTCTCCACGTGGACCTCGAGGCTGAGGTTTGATGTGCTTAAACCCAATTACTGAGCCTGGATGGACGTGCATTACTCACTGCTGCTCACTGCAGCCTGATATTGCCGGAGAGACAGACAGAGACAGAGAGGCCTCACTTAATTATATTAGTCCCACTTGAGAGTCATTAAGTGGATATCAGACACCTGCATTACGTTTGTGTGTGTGTGTGCGTGTGTGTGTGTATAAAATAGAAATAAAGGCTGATAGAAATGCTTATGTAGCCATTTTAAAATCCTTGTTATAGATAAGGCATTGAGGTACACTGCCTCCACTCAGATGCACTCATACATATATAGACTAATGTACAGGGCGCTGTTTAATCTGTTGGATGCACTGTTGTTTGACATAGCAACGCCACGTCTTGCCCATTAAAGCTGCAGCCAGATCCTTGCCCCGGGGGTTAGTCACATACAGAAATAGGAACACAAACACAACCATTCAAACATCGTCTTCTCTACTGTTGGTGTCATGAAGTATCCCACAGGTGTGTTATGAAGTTATTCAATGAGAAACATTTGATAAAAAAACGCTGTGGTTTGACAACCGAAATAGGGGGGAAAAAGAGGTTGTAGAATCTTTACATTTTTACAAGGATCCTTTTGAAGAATTAACACCTCTGTGAGGAGCTATTAGAAAGTTATGAATCAGACTGAATTTAATACCTATGCCTTTATGTGACCTACAAAACCACACGAGACCATCAGCGACAAATCAGTCATTATAGTTCTTTTGAATGTCTGTAACCTCAGCCACCAGGTACATGTCAAACAAAGTGAGTAACTACACGCTGACGCACCACAGCAAAGATTCACAATAAGTAATTAACAAGTGTTTTTACTCCTAGGAAAACTTTGCCACTTTGTCAACAGGGGTCACCAAAATCAACATGCACTAGACGTTTTTCACAGGAGCTTTAAGAGACATCGCAGATTGTGGTTTTGTGAAGAATATGTGTGAATACAAAACAATTGTCTTTATCATGATTTTGTAAAATTCACACTCTAAAATCTGATTGATCAACAGTGCAAAAACTTCCACATATGGGTAAAAACACAATCACAAATATCTTTTGGCCACTTCAGGGAAAGACTCTGTTGAATCTTTTTTCATAGATAAAGAAACCCCTATCTTAGTTCTTTTTATTCAACTTAAAAGTGGTCACACACAAGTAACACAGGAATGGGCAGGGATTCAGGGTATCTCTCCAGATCAAGTCATTTAGTAGTCAAGAGGTCCCAAACAGGGTGCCAGATAGTCTTTTTTTTGTCGCGCACCCAATGTACAGAGGCTATAGTCCTTGTTGCAGCTGCATGTCTTCCTCCACTCTCTCCTCTCGGCGTTTCCTGTCACTCTTCAGTCCTATCCAATAAAGGCAAAAATGCCCTTGCGAAAACAGACATTACCAACATGTTGGATAACATGGTGGTTTCTCAGCCTGTGTCATCTTGTTTCCTTTTTTTCATAAGCTGGAAAACAGTCAAAAATAATTCTACACTAATACTCAAATCCCCTCTCTCTAGGCAGACGCCACTGTTGGATAAATACATCATAAAACAAAATACATGGTGCAAAAAGAAGTTAAGGCACTGTAATTTTAGTTCTTCCTCTTCTTCTTCTTCTTCCTTAGATCCTCCTCACAAGAATAAGACATAATAACAGGAGAAAAAGAAAACAGGAATACAAGAAAACAAATTACCTCAGTGTCAGAAATAGATGATTTTGCAGGGCAGGAGGAGGGCCTGCTGCTTGTGTCAATAATGGGTGTGCAAATATCCCTTTTTCATTGCACCATCTGCAGCTGCCCTTTGTAAAAAAAAATTGCACTGATTTATATTCAACATTCATGCGAGTACATTTCTTTTAACCCACGTTTGAAAATGCTGAACATGCAATTTGTTTTTGTGAGACAACAGTGTAAAAAAAACATGCACCTTTATGTCATTATATCACCTTTGACCCTCATGATAAAGTCATAAATATGTTCCATGTTCCATATGCACACATAAACAGTACATAATATGAGCAAAGATTTGTTTAAACAGTCGTTTATTTGCATATTTAAACTCAGAAAGCTGCACATTCAATAAACGTATTTTCTCTGAATCACTACGATTCATTTACTAAAAAGAAACTGTCTGGCTGATTATCATCTTGTCTTCTTTTTTTTTTTTCAACCACACAGACTGAGACAAAAGGCGCCCGTCTGTGCACGCTGTTGCAGCGTTTTGATCCAGTTTTTAATCTTGTCATCTTTCCTTTGGGCCAAAATCTAAATTCATTCTGCAGACACTTCTCCGGCTTAATCTGTTTTTCAATGTACCCGGTTCTCGAGCTAATGTAGGCGTTGCCATTCAGACTACACCTTACTTTTTACGTATGCATGGTGCAGTGTGGAGTTACATAACCTGCAGACTTCCTCAGTGTCTGCATCAGAGTGTCTGGATCCATGTTCAGTGTTGCAATTGCCCCAATTTCAAGTCATACTGCAGATTTTGAGAAATGGTACTCACATTCTACTTCTCACACACACACACACTTACACATGGTCATCCTTGGACGCACGCACTTATTACACTTTCAATCACAGCATCCACCCTTATTTAAAAAAAAAAAAGTATCCCTGGGCTGTAACCATGGCAACAGAGGCTGTCTGCAGAGCAAAACCCTTTTAGACTGTCAAGGTAATAGCAGGTTATAGCTCCAATATTGAAAAGTGCTGGCACACAGCTCAATCTGTGGGAAAACACGGACTCCAGGGGAGTCAAGAGCACATTGATGACTGCTGTTAGGGCTCATTTTTAACGTCCTGCGTGCTTAAGTACTCTCATTTGACGTGTTGAGTGTTACACAACGTACTTCTGTTTTATTCCGTCTCGTCAGTGGGGCTGTTGACTAACAGGGAGGCTCTATGTGGCCTGTTCTATTTTTAATTTCCTCTGACCTTGCCTTCAGTGTTTTGTGTCTGACACCCCGATGTGTCTCTTTTGCGTCCCCCCCAGCTCTCCCTCCTCTTGCGCTCTCTCTGTTGGTCATGCAAGATGTGTGAAAGCATGAGTGCCATGTTTGTTAATCTCACAACCTAACTTGTAAAGCAGAACATCGTCATTCAACTCACAAACCTCCATCACAGAAACACAATTTTTTTTTTTTTTTTGCTGCATTGCCTTATTTCTTTTGTAAAAAAAAAAAAGATCCCCATCTTCTCTCAAGCTTTATCTCCACAAGGGTGTAATCTCCACTTACTCTTTTACTCTCCCTTGTTCCATCCCCTTAGCCGCCACCGCTGAGGAGGGGGGGGGGGGGGGGGCAGGGTGGCGGCGGTGATGAATGTGTCCCCCGTCTGCGGTTGCGGTTCACTTATTTCTGCTCTCATCAGCTCCGGCTGTAATGAGAACACGCGCTAAGACATCCAAGGACCCATGCTTTGAATAATGACTCCCTGTTTGTAGACCAGAAGCACAGAACATTCAAAACAGACCTGAGTGAGAGTTAGTACAGTGAGGACTATTGATTTTTTACTGACTAGAAATCGTTGGCAGTAAATTTATTCTGTTGATTTATTATATAACGCACCAAACTGTATATCATCCTGTGAAAATATGTGAATAAAATGTCCATAAAAGGCAATCATTTACTGAGAGATGGAGAATTAGGAAACCTCAAGTGTCAAAGAGTTGTGAATTTGGCAGAGAAACTATCTTCTGCACATGTGCTTATGTGTGCTTACATGTGTGTATGAGCATAAGTGAGAAATAGAAATAGATTATCTATGACTGAGCAGGAGAGTGATAGAGATAGCTTTAAGTTGCAGCAAAAACTTACAGAAGTAGACTGAAAAAACTCA